TCAGGCACTTCCAGGAAATGGTGGAACTGAGAGATTAAGAACCAGGCAATGCATGAGCCAAGGACTAGCCTGCTCCCCTGCCCACTGTGCTGGGGACTTCTTAGATCCTGACCTCATCTCTAACTGGCTGCATGACTGAAGGAGTAGGGACAAATGATCTTCAGATCCTGTCCAGCATGACCTTAAATTATCCGAGATCATCAGTATGTGGATTGATGGTTTTCTTGAGCACCTTTTTAAGTCCCCAGCATTCTCCTGACCCTTACTGGCTCCCAGAAGGGCAGTGGGGGCCTCTGTGCTGTGCTGTGGGCCTGCCAGCCTATACCAGTCCCAGCCTGCGCACCAGGTGTGGAGGTGACTGCATGCTTGACATCCCCTCTAGTGCAGACAGCCACATGGGAGGTCTAAATGTGCCACTTGTGGGTGTGTGTTCTGACCGTCCTTGAAAATAGCTCTTTTGCATTACAAGATGCTCCCGAGCTAATATAATAGGTAGATTCAGACAAGAGTTATTTTGAGGGCCATAATTTGATTTAGTTATCTCAGGCGATCAAAGATTGTTTAACTCCAGAAATAGCTGACTAGAACAGCTGTTAAAACAGTGCTTTGTGTGGGGAATGATGAAGAGGTTCAGTATTTTGACAGCTATTTCGGAGCTATGAGAAATAGACTTCTAAGAGAATTCAGATTACTGCTTTTGTTTTTTTGGATTCTCTAGACCAGATGATTTCCCATCTTCTGGTATCCTGTATGGGTAGAGGATAAGTATAGGAGTCTTTTCTCTTTCTAGAGTCTTGCATCTGTAGAGTTTCTGCAACACAAGAGTAATTTATTATGTTGACTTTTTCAAAAAAATACTGACTTGTTTATTCATCAAACACATGTTCGATGCTTACTGACCTCTATGGAAAGTGCAAGTCCTCTAGGTCCAAGAGTGGATCAGATGCTGCTGTCAAAGGAGTTCCCAATCTGGAGAGAAGACAAAACAATATGTGCTAGTAATTTTAAATAAATGTATTGACCATTATAGAAAAAGAGCTGGAATGGAGAATACAGTTGGCAAGAGGTAGCATTAAATAATTAGGAGTTTTCCATTTGAAATAGCAAGACTCAAGAATGGGCAAAGAAGCACTGTGTTCCAAACGGAGAGGAAAGTCTGGTCATGGTGACAAAGACATTACAGGCCTGAGGATTCTGGGATGTCGTGTATTTATGGACTTGACTGGCCAACCCACAGCTCAGCTCATAGTTTTCTGTATGGATATCCAATGCCTTAAATGTTTACACACACAGACTTTTAAATAGTCTAATATGAGTATCCCAATATTATAGTGTCTGTAACTTACTTTCAAATATTTTAATATGGACCCTGTAGTAAGTATGGACATCTGTTAAGTTTTCATTGAAATGTTAGTGAAAGTTGGAGGTGCCCGTTGTCATGGACACTCAGGGCTGGGGACTGGCACCTCACCCCAAGGGACTCTACATTAAGCAAATCACTTTTCTTTATCTCTGATTGACACAGAGATTTCCTTAACTAGAATGATGGATGTTGGAGATGGATTTTAATTGGGGCCACTTGTGGTGACCAAGATATGTGGCTAGGGTTGGACTCTTCCAGAGGCCTTTCTTCTTTTGTGTTAGAGGGTATAGAAGTTGAGTGAACCAGTAAAAATACAGACATTGAGCCTCTAGGAGGCTGGGTCTTAAGAGTCGGGCAGTGGCAGAGCCAGGGCTGCCTCTGCCCTCTACTCTGCTCAGTGAACTTTGTGTGCCCTTGGAAGAGTCTCTCTGTCTACAATGACTCTCTTTCAGAGGTTTATCAAACCACATAGGCTGATTCTTGACTACTGTTCCCTGACCCCAGACTGAAGTCTGTGCCTGAGAACCAACATATGATACTTCTGGAAGTTTTGGTATCTTATGTCTTCTTTTGATTCAAGAAGAAAGAAGTTTTACTAACACCCAGTTACCACGAGTGATGGATCTGCATTTCTAGTTAACATGTAGTTGATTTCTGTTTAACAAGAGGAAATCCAGTTTTCCCAGCCAGTACTATTTTCTGATTTTCTTGTTAACATACTCTTCCTCTATAGATAATGAAAAGAATTAGAGATTATCAGAGTAAATCTGAGTCACAATAAAGTGAACAAAAATACACATGTGTGGCACATTATGTAGAAATCTCTGCCCTTGAGAAACTGCATACTCTGAGAATTTTATTTTTGATATGTTTTTTATACAGACCCAAGCAAGTGAATTATTTTTCCACTTTAGCAAAAGTCTTTTTTTTTTTCTTTTTTCTTTTTTTCTGGTGTGCTCAGGTTCACTAATGGTCACTGTGGTTTGGAGGGAGTCTTAATGGATGCTTTGCCCTTGATAAAGACCAAGGACAATCATAGGACTTCCCTGTGGTCTACCTCACTTAGGCGTCTTGATGAATGGCCCTAGTTCAGGAAGGCAAATGCTCTGTTTCTTGTCCAACTGAGGAATTCAAAGTAGTGAGAAGTTAAATGGCTGCTCCCCTCCACAGAATTGATTGTGACAGAGTCAGAGCTGGAACTGAGCTTTCTGAATGAGGTGACTGATCCATGGCTCTTGACGCCACCCCTGGCTCCCAGAGTGCAGGGAAGTGAGTCTCCGTGGTACTCCCACAGAATGGCACATCCAGAGATACTGGTGGTGACATTTGCAGAAGAACTTGTGGTTCTTGCTCAATAGAACTTCAGGAGAAGCCTGCGCTTGGGGCATTGAGGTGGGATGTTTAGTTTGGGTGGTGATAGAACAAGGGAATCCGCAAGCCTTGAATGTCTCTCTCCCAGCATTGGCCACTCTCACTGCATCCCCAAGTCATCCCGAATGAGTCATCCTACAATCAAAGTAAAAGTAAAATTAAATTAAGGAGAGTCTCGGCAGGCTCTAGTCAGGAGCCTGGCCCCGCATTCCAAACCCCTCCTTCCACCCAGCCTCATTGCACTGACTCCTGTATTCTCCGTCTTCAAAACCAATCCTGTGACATCGTATTTCTCCATTTTGCAATTGATAAAATCCAGGCTTTGGAAATAAACGTGTAATGTCCCAAGGTTATTCAACTCTTCTGCATTCCTAGTCGTTCCTCCTGAACCCACACCCTATGCTATGCTGGGTTCTATGCAGCTTTAGACTAATTATGGACAGTTAAATTATGGGTGTGGTTTTGGCCAGCTTGATGTTACTGCAGCAAAATACATGAGATAATTAACTTATAAGAGGAAAGTTTTATTTAGTTGGAGGTACGCCAAGATTGGGCTGACCCCTTGCCTTGTTGGAGGTGCCAGATGGCAATGGCGGGGAGTGTGGCAGGGCAAACTGCCAGGAGGAAGGAGGGAAGAGGAAGGGACCGGGGTCCCATAATCCACACTGACCTAATAACCTAAAAACCTCCCAATAGCCCCCACCTATTAAAGTTTCCACCACCTCTTAAGAGAACACCTACCACCCTGAGGACCACGCCTTGAACACATGGCCTTTGGGGGCCACTTATCAACACCATAGCAAAAATCTTCTGACTTGTCCTGCCAAGTAAAAGATCTATTTATTAAACCTTGCAGAATGTGTGTGTGTGTGTGTGTGTGTGTGTGTGTGTGTGAGTGTTGTGTGTCCGTGTTTTAGAATAGGGCCTACATCTTTGGTGTCTGATGCAGACTCACTGTGGATGGGAGAGAACCACCTTCTTAGGTGAGATACTGGATGAAAGGTGTTAAAAGAGAAATTTGCACTGATGACAGCTCCCACTTTGAAGCTGTCAGAATCCTTTTGCTGTCACCACCGAATCTGACAGCTTGGCTTCCACTACTGAAAGGGCTGCTGTCTGAGGAGCAGGGTGGTGGCTGCTGCGGCTGCGCTAACTGGGTACCAGTCAGATGCGTCTGGGCAGCCTTCTCCTTACAGGTGCCTTCCTGCTTTGGGCAACAGGAAGCCTTTTGCTCTTAATTTCCTTTTTCTTGTCAACTTCCATCCTGGAAAGAGAAAATATTGTCTCTTCTTAAAAGAGCGTACCTGGCATTTGTATTTCTCACAAGGAAATGGCTAACCTCAGTTGCTGAATAATCAGGCTTTTCTGGGATTTGGCAAATGTGAGTAGGTCTCCCTAAAGACCTGGTCGGCTCCAGAGAGGTGAATCATGGAGGCTCCCAACAAAGAAGTCAGCTTTGTACTGCAAAAAAAAATGCAGGTCTTGAGCCTCAGTCTCACGACTGCATCATTTCAGAGTACGGGGAAGGCTCCCGTTATCTGTGGTTATAGTGATGGATATCACAAAGGGCAAAAACTGCCTTGGAAAGAAGAAAGTGTCTTGGTTTCACATCTTTTTTTCACTGCTAAACATAGCATGAAAACACTGTGTGGCTTTTTCTCCTAGATTACAGATGCTCTAGGGACTCCAGCTTATTCATTCTGCTCTAGGCCCACACGGTTTGTCCTGCCCATAGTAGAAACCTAGTGCTGGCTGAGCTGAATCGTTTTTCAGTGCAAAAGGAAAGTTGGGCAGATTCAAGAAGTAGTTGGGGCAGCCTGGCACAGTGAGTCAGATGTCCATGCACAGCTCCCCACTTACTCAGAGGAAGAATTTATTTCATGGCTGAAAAGGGGACAGATAATACATACCAAGCATAACAATGGATAAAGCAAGGAACCCAGCATAATAAGTGTTTACTACTTATTTTTTATTAATAGGCATTTTTAAGTGCCACCATATGCCAGGAACTGTTCTAGGAGCTTTGTTAGCCTTAGTGGTTTGAAACCCACTGTTTTCCACGTTGTGGCAATTTCTCTTAGAGGTTGTTAAAACAAGTAATGGAGAGCTAGCACCACCATGTCCAAGAGGAAAGTTTTATCAAAGCCAGTGAAATGGGAGATGGGCTGCTGGGAGATCCAGCAGAACGGGCATGTTCCCACTGCCTTAGGGATTTGGGGAAAGTCCTGAGGAAATTCTTACCTGTTCCCTGTTTCTTCATCCACAGGCCTCCTGGTGGGTACCCTTGATGTTGTGTTGGACTCCAGTGCCCGGGTTGCTCCTTACCGAATCCTGTACCAGACTCCAGACTCTCTGGTCTATTGGACCATCGCCTGTGGTAAGTAGTATTTGGTGAGACACGAGTTTACAGAAAGCTTTAAACCAACAGCTTTCTGCCAGAAGGGAAGGAACACGTACCTGTGAATGCAATCACTGGTATTTCAGGGAATGAACTTTAGCTATTTGAGCACAAGAACCACCCCCCCCCCCCCCCCCCCCCCCCGCCAGTCTTAATGGCTTAACCCAATAAACCTGCTCATTCTGAAGAAGTCTTATTTGGATCACATAGTGTCCTCCATCTGTAGTGACACCCTGTGGAACACAAGTCCTCCAGGTTCAGCTTGCAAGGAGGAGAAGGCTTGAACATGAACTTCCTTAGCCCAGAAGTGGCACAGATCCTTCTGCTTACTCTCCATTGATTAGAATTGGTCATGTGGGCCCAGCCTAACTTCAGGGGAAGCTGGGAAATGAAGAGGAATGTGTGGGGTGCTTGGGTGTACTGAGTAATACTTAGTCTGTTGTAGCACACAGTATCTCCTGTCAGTAGAGATAATTTATTACTCCTGATGAGAATATGGATACTACATTGTGTTTATAATGGCAGCAAACAGCCCTGCTGTTATTGGATCTCTTGCAAAATTTTTTTCTTTTTATTTATTTGTTCTTTTTAGATACACATGAAACTAGAATGTGTTTTGATGTATTGTACATACATGGGGTATAACTTATTCTAATTAGGATCCCATTCTTCTGGTTGTACATGATGTGGAGTCACACAAATGGCATATTCCTAAATGAACATAGGAAAGTGATGTCCAGTTCATTCTATTGTCTTTCCTATTCCCACCCCCTCCCTTCCCTTCATTTCCTTTTGTCTAATCCAATGAATTTCTCTTCTTCTCTTCCCCCCTTATGTGAGTCAGCATCTGCATATGAGAGAACATTCAGCCTTTGGTTTTTAGGGATTGGCTTATTTTACTTAGTATGACAATCTCCAGTTCCATCCATTTATTAGCAAATGCCATAATTTCATTCTTCTTTATGGCAAGTCATATTCCATTATATATATATTTCCACATTTTCTTTATTCATTCATCTGTGAAAGGGAACCTAGGTTGGTTCCATAGTTTAGCTATTGTGAATTGAGCTGCTGTAAACATTGATGTGGCTGTGTCACTGTAGTATGTTAATTTTAAGTCCTTTGGGTATAAACCAAGGAGTGGGATAACTGGGTCAAATGGTGGTTCCATTCCAAGTTTTCTAAGGAATCTCCAAACTGCTTTCCAGAGTGGTTGCACCAATTTGCAGTCCTACCAGTAATGTATGAGTGAACCTTTTCCCCACATCCTCACCAAAATTTATTGTTACTTGTATTCTTGGTAATTGGCATTCTGACTGGAGTGAGATAGAATCTCAGTGTCTCACAAGAACTTCTAATGCAAAATGACCAGATTTTTTTAAAGTGATTTGTTTGCAGGTAGTTTTCTTTTAAATGCAGAAAAATCACCATAGGTACTGAATGCTTCATTTTTTTGCTTCCCCTAGGTTTTTTATATTAATGGACTTTAGTTTTACATAATTGAACAGATAGTTTGATTTAGAGGAAAGTTGGACAGATTATTCAGAGACCTCCTGTGTAACCCCCACATACATAGTTTCTACTTTCTTTTTTTCTCTCTTTTTTTTCTACTTTCATTAATATCTTAGTATGCTATATTTGTTACAATTAGTAAACCAATATTGAACATTAGTATAAGATAGAATCCATTGCTTATTCAGATTTTCTTGTTTTTCCTAATGTTTTTTTCTGTCCCAGGGCCCTACCATTATTCCATATCACATTTGGTTTTCATACTCTCAGGTTCCTCTTGACTCATAAAATTTTCTAGACTTCCATGTTTAGGATTTTTTGGAGGAATGTTGGTTAGATGTATTGTAGAAAGTTCCTTTGATGTTTTTCTTGTCATTATTATTATTATTCCTTGTCATTATACTGGGGTGATGGGTTTTTATGGGGAAGATTCTAGAGATAAAATGCCATTTTCATCTTATTGTGTCATGAGTACATATTATCAACATGATTTATGGCCATGAAAGTCCCTGATCACCTGCAAGAACTGGTGTCCTTCTGGTTTTTCCACTGTAATGTCACTCTCTTCTTTGCTTTTGTAACTGCACTCTTTGGGAGAAAGTCACTACACATGGTCCATCCTTAAGGGATGGGGGTCTTGAGGATAGATTATCTAGGTAATTTATTTATTCTTCTGCACGGAAGTTCTGTTTTCTCCCTTCATTATTAATTTATTCAATTATTGATGTCACTATAGACTCATGGGTATTTACATTTTCACCCTGGGTTGCAATCCAATGCTACTTTAGTTTGACTTTAAGTTCTTTAAGTCCTTAAGTTCTTTAAGTTGACTTCATTCATTTTTTAAGTTGATCTCTGCTTTTTAAAGAAGTAACTTGCTAGAATCTAAAGATAGGAAGGCAATTAGATGATCTCTGCTCATTTAAAATCAATTCTCAAGAGAATATAAGCAAATACTCACTTGCAGCCTTAGGTGAATAAGAGTTCTATTTGATTACTGAATGCCCAGCTAAACACAGGATTCTAGGCCAGCCTTCTATGCAAATAGGGGAAGTATCTGGGTGTGATTTCAGGCTGATGGAAGGCTCAGTGACCTAGTATTACTCCTTCAAGGATTTAGTAGTACCTGAAATTCTAACATCATAGCTATATTCTTTTAAAAGTATCCTAGCTAAGATGCAAACAGCCTCAGGAGAGACAGTTGGACATATTCCTTGTCATTTGCACATTTCTGTGAATGAAAGAATAGCTTTGGGATTAAGGCATTGGAGAAAACTGCCTAGACGTGAAGGATGTGAATGAGCGAAGAAGGGGGTAAAGGATACAGGAAGAAGGAAACTGGGACTCTGAAGAAGACAGACTTACTGGTGTACCAAGGTTCACAGGTGGCATCCAGCTGCAGGTCCATTTAGCACAAAGGGATACCAGAAGCTATGGTAGGTGGTTGGGAAAGTTTTGCATTTAGTGGGTGAACAGTCTAGAAAGTGTTAAAGTAGACACTGCAGGCAGCAAGTGAAGAAGTGCAGGGCTGGGGATGTGGCTCAAGCGGTAGCGCGCTTACCTGGCATGCGTGCGTCCTGGGTTCGATCCTCAGCACCACATACAAAACAAAGATGTTGTGTCCGCCAACTAAAAAATATATATTAAAAAATTCTCTCTCTCAAAAAAAAAAAAAAAGAAGTGCAACCCAGGGACATGAAAGGTCATGGAGCCCCTGAGACCCCTGCCTTGATGAGGGTATGCCCCCTTCTCAGCTCCAGCAATCCCATCACTTGGGCCCTGGGTGGTTTTGAGATGGTGGGGAGAGGGGCGTCTCCGACCCCTGGCTCTCATTGCAGCCCTCCAGGACCCTGGTCTTCCTATCAGCATCTGGTGATAGGAGGAGCTACATGTGCCTCTGTGTCTCTTCTCCCTGTGCCTCCTCATCTGTCGCCTTTCTTGTCATTGACATTTATGTCACTGCCTGACATTGCTGTTCCTCAGTCTGTTTCTGAGGCTTTGTCATTCTGTCAAGTAGACCTTCCTGTGAATGCTCAGGTGGGGTAGAACCCGGAGTTACAAAGCGGATTTAGTTCTGAATTGTTTGCCAAGCCAAGACTAGGGAACACTCGGCTGTAACTGCTGATGGCATAAAATATGCCTCAAAGAGATGTGCTTTCATTTCCCCGGTATTGCCTGTCACAACTGCATGATCTCATTATAATAAGCCCGGAATGGATTTTTGCTTTTGTATGTATCGATTACCCATAGAGGTAGCTCCAGAATTTCCTTATGGAAGACTCCCGGAAGTGACAACCTTTATGAAAGTCCCATTCACCCATTAACTGTTTTTTCTTAACGATTTCTGATTCAGCATTTAAACCCCAAATGACTGGCTTCCTTTCATGACAAGATTTTAAGAGCAAAAGCGGCTACCTTAAAAGGATTTCTCGAATATGCTGACTTTTCTGCTTGCAACTTGAATGTTATTTTTTCATCAACAACAAAATTAATACTGTTTAGTAGGAAAATATATTGACAGCTTTTTAATTGTCTTGAATTTCATGAATTGTTGCTGAAGAGGAACTTCAGCAGAAGATTGGGCAGTATGATTCCCTGCCCTAGAACCCATCATAGTATAAGATCTTGGCCTATGTCTTGTACCTTAAGTGTCAGTTAAATTAAAGGGGCTGCGACCATCCATGTTATAACATTGACCACTTTTTGTAAATCAGCAGCAGTCTTAACTGTAAATCCTAGTTGTCTGATTTGCCTTAGACGTGATTCATAGGAATCTTTGGGACCTAGAGTAGCTTACTGCCAGTATAATAATCAGCTGGCCCCGGGCAATATGGACTCTGTAGTTTGATAATAGCCCTGAACAGTGCCTTAATATGGCTTCCCATTGACTTAGATTTCCTTTTCTCTACCATTCCAGAATCTCATTTGGTCCTAGCCAGTCATTCAGTTTCAGAACTGAGAGACACATCAATCATCCCCTTGTCCACCCCACTTATTTCAGGAGGATACAGAGGGAAAGTGAATGTGCCCAAGTTAGCCATCCTAGCTTTAACTAATTAGGTGGAGCTCCAGCCAAGTTCTCAGGTCTCCCCCTCCCACCCCATGACTTTCTAAGTGGCGCCATGCTGGCTTTTATGATTAAACATTCCTTTAGACTGGAGCTGGTAAGACCCAGACTTTAATTAAAGATTGCTAATTGGCCTGTTCTTGCTGTTTCTCTACAGTAGATAGAGAAAATGTTGGGTAATTTAGTTACTTTCCACATGATATAGACGTAACGTGAAGGTTATAGGATTTCTATTCTCTCTTTTTCATTTGTTCTAATTAGTTGTACATGACAGTAGAATGCATCTTGACACATCATACATAAATGGAATATAACTTCTCATTCATCTGGTTGAAGTATTTTTAATAATACTTTCTTGGTCTGTATATCTCAAGGATTTTTTTTTCTAATCCTTGGTAAC